AGAGAATAGGCTCTTTTCGAAGTGCCTGAGAATGTTTAAATTGGTTCTTTTCCTTTTGAAAAATGAATGTTTAAATTAGGTAATCTTCAATTAAAACATGTACTCGTTTTTTCTTCTCCTGGTGGATGTGCTCATTCTACTGTAATTTCTTATCAGGGAGTGCGGGTTGGCACATAAAACCATTATCTTTGTGTTGGATGAGTTTGACCTTTTTACACAGGTAAGATTCTCATGTAGTGAAGAAAGATATGAGAAAATATGTCAAATTCTCAGAATTGGATGTCTTTGCAATTTGCAGGGTAAACAGCGATTACTCTATAGCTTGCTAGATGCAATGCAGTGTGTAACGTCGCAAGCTGTTGTCATTGGTGTGAGTTGCAGATTGGTATGTTCCTTAGTTTTAGGATTAATATTTTTTCCGCGCGTTCTATTTCTCTAGGAACCGTACATTCCTCAACATTATTATGTCTGCGTAGGGGTAAGATTTGCGTACACACTACCCTCCCCAGACCCCACGGTGTGGGATAATACTGGGTATGTTGTTGTTGGGACTTAAAAATCAAATGTGCATGCTCGATTTCATTTTTTCTTTTTCCTTTTTTTTTGTGAAAATATTGAGTATCTTGTTTTGAGTTGCTGATGAACAAGATCAAATTTGATTGAAATAGTTGCCTTGTCATTAATGCACATTTGAGTCACTTAAATACATATAGCTACACTTTTTGAAGTAATGAGTAAATTAAGAGTGGTGAAACTTGTGTTGTGCAGGATGCCGATCAACTCTTAGAGAAGAGAGTAAGGTCTCGTTTCTCACATAGAAAGCTGTTGTTTCTACCCCCTTCGCAAGAAGACTTGCAAAAGTAACTTCTCGTTGCATACCTTGGTTCCTCATTTACTGCCTGCAAGAATTTCTATCAATACTGACAGTCTGTATATCAGAATTTTGCAGCACGCTTTACTACTGCCGACAGAGTCAGAACTTCCTTCTCAATATGTAGCTGCTTATAACACAAAGCTTCTTGTATCCTTTCACTCGTTACACTTTTCATTGTCAACGAATGAATTAAAGTGAGATGATACCAGAAACCAGAAAAGTTGAAAAGAGAGTGAGAGAGAGCAATCGACAAGATGTAAGAAGAGTGGGGCTCAGAAATGCTCAGCTAAGTATAGGGGTATCCTTTAGAACAGTGGTAATAACTCATTTGTGCTAAGCCTAAATGAGATACTCGATTTTTTTTTAAAAAAAAAATTATTAAATAAAAAGAGGGGCGAAGTGCTACAAAAATAACTCTGTTCTA